TTAATATAAATTGTAAAATAGTAGAAACTATAAATGATGTTATACACAAATTAGAACATACTGAAGGTGATATTTTGAATTTGTTACATAACATAATTTATAATATTCACAATAAGTGGGATAATTTTTGTACAGTTGCTGATGAAGTTTTGATATTGTTACATATATTAATAATCACAGAGACATTTCTAAAATAACATGAAATTCAAAATTATATTTTGGAAGGCTGTGAAAAAATTTATAAATATAAAAGTAATAAAGGAGGTGGAATTTTAATTTAAAACAAAAACATTTATCTATAGAATTAATTAAATTAAGTTTGGAAGATATAGAAATATTATCATTTACTGTTGAGGTAAATGATTGTAAAGTTTTAATAATTCCAATTTACAGACCTTTCAATTCTAATATTTGTATTTTAAATTTGGAAAACTGCTAAATGAATTAAAAAATTATAAACATATAGTATATCTTGGTGATATAAATATCAATATTAAATAAAAAATAACGAAAATAGTAAACTGGTAAATGACTATCAAAACTTGTTACATTTTAATAAATTTCAGCAAAATATAAATTTTAACACAAGATCAAAATGGAGAAGTGGAAAATTGGTTAAATCTTGTTTAGATCATGTGTATAGAAAACTTACAGGTGTAAATGTGAAAAGTTATGTGGTCATGGAAAAAAATATCAGATCATAGGATGATCTTGGTTAATTTAAAACCAGTTTAAATACAGTAAAACAAACTATGAAAAAGAGCATACAAAATGTTTTAGTGATTAATAACATTAAAATGTATATAGTGTTATAAATTATATAAACAGCTACAACTGAGATGTGTTCTTAAGGTTAAAAGATCCTGGGATAATGTATCAAAAACTTGTTTGTGTGTTAAATTAAATTGAATCAAAAAATTAATTTGAGATTAGAATAAGAAAGTTTGTTTGTTTGTTTTTGAATTTTGCGCAAAGCTACACGAGGGCTATCTGCACTAGCCGTCCATAATTTAGCAGTATAAGACTAGAGGGAAGGCAGCTAGTCAACACCACCCACTGCCAACTCTTGGGCTACTCTTTTACCAACGAATAGTGTGATTGATTGTCACATTATAACGTCCCCATTATATAATATAATGTATATTATACATTATAACTTAGAAAAACAAATATAAAAACCTAGGTATTTCTATGTAAACTCAGTGGTTAAAAGAAACGGTAGATGAAACAGACCATGTAGAATAATGAGAATAATGCAACA